AGGCACAAAGCCCTAGATTCAATCCCCGGCACACTGGGTGTGGCTAGTCTCCACGTTTGGCATGAAGTGGGCAGGATCAGCCCTTCTTCGCTGAGCCGGTCACTCCTCATCTGGGGCGGAGCCTCAGAAGACCCTCTCCCGCCTCTGCTGGGATGCTAACCGGATTGACCCTGTGCAGCTAGCCGCTGGGAGTTCATGAGTCAACTGTCACGCCCTGTGCAGAAGGCCGCACTACACAGCACCGCTCCCCAACCTCCGGCTCTTCCGCCCACGTTCATGCGGCGTTCACTGAGCTTCAGAAGGTTAGTATGACTGTCTCGTTCAGCAATCACTCAACAGCCGTTTGCTCTCAGCCTTGTTCTGAGATCAGTTCTGAGTCTGCGAGGACTGCCGCCCACTGTGAAAAGATCGCTCCTAGCCGGATGTGGTGGCGCGCGCCTTTAATCCCAGCGCCCGGGAGGCAGAGGCAGGTAGATCTCTTGAGTTCCAGGCCAGTCTGGTCTACTGGGCGAGTTCCTGGACAGCAACAAAGACTAGGGTTGACATCAGCACTGATGTATGGGTAAACGTAAGCATTAGAAGGCAGTTAGACAACGTGCCGATTTAACAAGACAACAGTAGTAGGTCCCCTTACCAAGGCCTGTGACTTCCCCAGGCATGCATGTTTGACCATGTTTGCAGTACCAGGCAGTAACTTCCTCCGGTGAAGTAGACCTCCAGTTAGAAAACAGTTGGCTATACCTTCTACAGTGATGTCACTATTGTTTTAGTGGGCACATGTTGCCTGACAGGTTCTTCTGTGAATATAATCCCTGTGTTTTTGCCCCTCTGTTCTGTCAGGCCATGATCATGAAGCCAGTCCTTACCTATTCTAGATGTACAGTGTGATACGCTGTTTCACACACATGCAATGGCCTCCTTCATTTGTGACTAACTTCTCGGTGAGCATCTTTTCTGATATTTGGTGAGTTTCTTACAATCAGGAGCCACACGTCATTGCTAATGCATGACCCCATCCCAATCACAACACCCACGTGGAAGGCAGAGTTGGAGTCTAACAACGAGCCTGATCTGGGTAGGTGTATGGGGCAGGCAGTTATCCGACCCCATTCTCCATGGGCCCCCAGTCTTCCTTCCGTGTTGTCTTCTCCGCTCTCATTCACAAATCATATTCTACAAATACACGCTTGACCTTCAAGCCGCCAAATACATGCCAACTTGACAGAATGAGCTCAGAGAAAGCAACCTGCAGCCCCTACCCTTCTCAACCCAGCTGCTTGTTCTCTGTGTGAGTTCGGGTTCTGTGGATGTGGCAAGATCTTGCATTCTCAAATCCTCACTCTCTCCTCAGCGCTGATGTGCCTCCAATCCACCTGTTCCCCGCTTGCTCCCTCCACTCTCTCTCCTCAAAGTTCCCCTTCTTGCTTAACTGTAGGTCCATTCTCTCCTCTGTTATTATTGTTGTTGTTATTAGCGGAGTCTAATGATAGCCCAGGCTAGCCTTGGATTCACTGGGTAGCCAGGCATGACCTTGAACGGCTGGTCCTTTGCCCTCTGAGTCTCTTCATCAATCCTCCTGATTTTTTTTTCCTTCTTCCCCTTCATGCTAGAGTTCTTAAAGAGAATTGCTCCATTTTCAGCCTTCATCTCCTCCCACCCACTCGCTGTTATTTATTATTTTATGCGCACATTTCTTGAATAGCTAATACGTGCTTTCAATTCAGAGTTTAAAACACTGCAGAATATGCACAGCGAATCCTTGTCCTTCCAGCAGTGTCCCAAGCCCCACACTCTCCCCAGAGGCAGTCCCCGAGTCCAGCGCCTTCCTTAATCTCCATAGATCATGTGCGTATATGTTTATTGGAATCTTTATACAAACAATGGCAGCTATAGATATTTTCTACCCTTGGGGTTTTATTCATTTAAAATGTTTTAGAGGTTGTCCTGTGTCAGGATAGCCAAATCTGCCTCATTCTTCCAGACAGCTGCCAAGATCTCCCTGTGAGGTCATGCCCTCAGCCCTCTTCCCTGGACACCGAAGCTCTCTCCGTCCTTTGTTCTAACAAGCACGCTGCCGAGAGCATCCTCACGCGTGTGCGCTTTCTCACCCTTCCGGGCGCCTTTTACAGAGTAAAATCCGCAGAAGGAAGTTGCATTCTACATTTGGAAATCGAATTGCTCTCCACAGAAGTCAAACCATCTCATCAGCCCACAGCAAGCCCTGGGAAGGCCTCGTTTCCCCTCGGACTATGCAAGAGACTTTTTAAAACAACTTTTTACTTTTGCTAGTTTGAAAGTATACTTTTTTTTTTTAAATTTCACACGCATTTAATTCTTTACCTTCTCCTTCCCCTTCAAATTTCTCCTGTACCCCCAAATCCCCCTCTCGAGCTAATGTTCTCTATAATTTTATAGCTACGTATGCACGTGTGTCTGGATTCTAGAACCTGTGGCTAGAGAGTTCCTAGACCCTTAATTCCATTTTGCTAAACTGATATAATACCCGACTGTCTTCTGAATGTGTATCCTCATCTTCAGATCAGAGCAGCTCTCAGCCCTTATCAAAGAAGCCTCATTTCGAAGCAGGCAGAGGCTATTACAGAGCGCCACAGGGAGTCAAGGTACAGAGGATAAGGGACAGTAGGGAGCACAGCCCCAAGGAGGACCATCTATAGTACAAGCCCTGCCCCTGGTGTTCAGAGAACATCTCGGAAGAAGAGGTGGAAAGATTGTAAGAGCCAGAGGCCGGGAAGGACCGCTGGAGAGTGGTGTCTTCTGAAATGGTGTCTACTTACCTGCATGAGACTACACCGGACAACCTTCCACAAGCCCTAACTCTTGTTAAAAAGCTGTGGAAGGGCAGTGTCTGCTGGGGATGGGAGACTCAGTTTGCTCCATGGACAATCTTCCTGCTATGCTGTCCATGCCCAAATAGTCATCCCTACCCTCAAAAATGTGTGGGAACACCAAAGGCACTTTCAGTCTGCATGGGTTTTTATGGATATACTAAAGCACTCTCATTTTTCAGCCTTTGGAGTTTCTCCCTCTGTTCCTATCTTGGGCCTGGTTGGAGATGGTCTTTGATGGATCCTGGGACCACGCTAAATTAGAAAAAAATCAATTCCTTGACTGTGATATTAGTGGCACATATTTTTAGTCACTGAGTAACCTTCTATAATACACATTATATGCCCAATAAAACAAATGCACCTACTGTGCTATTTGTTTCCCCTGCCTTCTGATGGCAAAAATCCAAAGCCTTTGTTGGCCCTCATGCTCTTCAGCACCCAGCTCTGTTGGTCCATGCTGTGAACAATCTCTTTCAACTACATGCAGTCTGGATTAAGGCTCGCCTCCTGCTTCTCTGTCCTGTCTCTTTGGCCTCCCTGGAACTCCTGAGACAGAATCCTTGGAAAGGCCATCTGCTCACCCTCGCTCAGCAAAGACAAGGAAAAGCCCAGCTGGGTCACACTGGGCCCTGTCCTGCACCATTAATGGGATGTGCAGACGACTGTTTTACACGCATCTATAGGGTGTGCAGACAAGGGCATCACACCCGTCTAGAGGGTGTGTAGACAAAGGAGTTACACACATCTTGGAGATGTACAAAGGTTTTTACACACATCTGGGGCGTGTCCAGACAAAGCGGCGTATGCTGCTCACCAGACTCTTTTTGCCTCGCAGCAAACTTCACAGTCTAAAAATCGCCCCGCGCAGCTCTCCCCCACTGGGCTTCTGCTACTCTCGAAGTCCTGGTAAGTCTGAAACTGTGAGCCGAGGCTCATCCAGGGTTGCCTATCTCTGCTAGGGGCAGTCTCTCTCATCCCTTTCTTCCCTTGCAGCCCCACACCCCTGCTCTCAGCAGCAGCTCCACAGAAGCATGCCTTTCTTGACCCTTTTCTTGCTGTTTTTCAAGACAGGGTTTCTCTGTGTAGCCTTGGCTGGCCTTTCTTGATCCTTAAACACTCCCCTGCTGCAGTCCTTGGCACACCCATGCTCAGGAAACTTCATTCCCTCCCAGGCACCAGCCCTGGGTCAGTCCTCAGCAGAGAATTCTGAAACAGCTAAGCTCCCTAGTGTGGCTTGGGGTACCCTGGCTCCAGATGAGGTACCACGACAGAAGAGTCCTTCTTCAAATGTGAGGAGAAAAAAAAAGGGCGGGAGGTGTTCCCCGGTGGAACGCATTCTCAGGACCACACAAACCAAGAGCATTGCCCAACACCTGTGATCGGAGAACTCCAGAGGCGGTGGCAGGAGAATTCCAAGTTTAAGGTCATCCTCAGGTACATATGGAGTTCTGGGTCATCCTGAGCTACATGACTGTCAACGACGACAGAAAAGTAAAATGTCTTCTCTGTTCACGTAATGGCGCTGTTTACTTACGTATGTTCGTACGACTTGTACAAGCATCTCGTTTCTTCCTTTGGCTGCGTCCCATCAGCGTTTGGGAGAAGGGTTTCCTACCGTTTCTGTTTAATTGTTACCGACTTAACTGTAGGTGTTTTTTATTCCCGTCTCCCCATTTCCTCTGCTCCAGGCCCCTTCTGCTTGGGTTTCACTGTTGCTGCAACTTACACCCCTCCCCCTAGAGAATCCAGTGGCAGAAGGCCATCTCTGAGAGTCTGCCCCACGCTCTAGTTCCAAGAGAGTCCAGCCGTGTCCCCCCGCCCCCGAAGCCCCCGACCCAGTGGAAAGGTGTCCTAACATGCACTTAGGCCAGGGTGGCCGGAGACTCAGAATCCCTTGCACACTCAGAGTTAGTTGTCTGGGCTTCGGACTGGGGACAGTGAGGAGAGGGCACATCTGAGAGAGCAGGACAAGCCGAGTAGGCTGCTCGGGGTGGAGGGAGAAGGGAGGGGAGAGGTGCGGTGCTGGAAGGGGTGGGGACAGGAGGGCTGGCCAGGGCAGGAAGCTGCCGCGGCTACCGCTGTGGGTGCAGGGGCATTCCTTGTTGAGACAGCACAACAGAGGACCCCCCCCCCCCCCGAAGTCGCTTGCTTCTCCACCTTGGGCCATGGCAGAAAACTCGGACAAAGTTCCTATCACCATGGTAGGGCCCGACGACACCGAGTTTTGCAGTCCCCCGGTGAGTACCTCCTGAGTCCCCAGTCCTGGTGTGGAGCAGATCCGGGCGCAGGGACCCCGGCTGCGTGTGGGTGCCATATCCACTTCTGGGATCAGGGGCCTGTGCCATTGAATGCGTGGTGGCGAGGGAATCAAAAGAGGGTGCCCGGTGTGGGGGTGGAGCGGCAGGGCAAACAGGACCCACCGCGGGTGTGGAGGGACCCTCAGAGGGTGCCGGTCTGCGGGGCTGGGGCCCTGCCTGGGGGAACAGTCTGCCATGGTCCGTCCACGCCCCGGGAGGCAGCCATGTGCGTGTGCCCGGGCCAAGGCTTTCTACTCCAGTCCTCGGGGGTCCCGCGAGCGTGGGTGGTGCGGCGACCCGACCCTCTCCCGCTCCGCAGGCGTACGCCACCGTGACCGTGAAGCCCTCCGGCCCTACACGGCTGCTCAAGGTCGGAGCCGTGGTCCTCATTTCTGGCGCCGTGCTGCTGCTCTTCGGGGCCATCGGGGCCTTCTACTTCTGGAAGGGGAACGACCATCACGTAAGTTCGAGGAGCGTGGCTCCAGGGGCCGTGCGCCCGGAGCTGGGACGCAAGGGCCGCCAGGACCCCCTAGGTGGAGCCAGAGCGCGCCAGAGCGCCGCGGGGCGCAACTTGCAGCTTCCTTTGGTCCCCTGGGTCCTCTTGGGACGCCTCCCGTCGTGGACACAGGGCACAGAGGAGACAAACCCAGGGTCTCTGGGACGAAAACAGGAAGGGAGAATGTTCGAGGACGCCCTGAACACTACGGGAGAAGCCGTTCTCTGCCATCTCTGCCTAAGGCAGAAGCCGCCCAGGCAGTTGGGAGACAGTGGGTAGGGCAAGCGGCCTCTCTGAAATTCTCATCCAGAGAGAAAGAAAGCAAAGTAAATGATCCTGAAGGCCCGTCCCGGCTGAGAAAAGCTATAAATTGTTAAAAGGCAAGGGTAGAAAGAATATTGAGACCCGAGGCAGGGGCTAAATCTTTATCTATCAGGTTTTCGTGTGTGCGACCTTCTCTGTGTTAAAACAGAAAGTCAGACTTCCTTGGAGGTGACAAATCTCTTTTAAGACTCGGTCTGGTCACCTGTGATTTAATGGCAAATGTCTCGCTAACCACTCTCCTACTCATTTATATTAAGGCTGGGTAGACTCTCAAGGAGTATAAAAACGGCTTCTGTCTGAACTGGGCAGAATTCCAGCGTGCTCTCTAAATACCTGACTGTGTCCACCTATGTAAAAGGGGCCATTTTATCTTGATGACCATTGCCACGCCAGGCGTAAGCTTATTTCAACTAATGGAAAAGAATTCCATCTCCAGGGTGCACACAAAGGGCTCTTTCTTAATCACTGTCCTCCGAGCCTCGCTGACTGCTGCTGTTTCCTCCTCTTCCCATGAAATTCAAAGCATGAACGAATTCCAGTACTTAGAGAAAATGGTGCTGAAAGCAATTCAACCATTTTACACATCACATCTTCTGCAGTCACTGCATAATTTGTATTTTTAACTCAAATGCCTAATGTAGATAAGCATGCCATTTAGCACTGAGTCTGTTTTAGAGAGACTATATCAAATTTACAAGCATCAATTTGTAAGATCAGAATTGCGCTGTATTTTGTGCGGATTTGAAAAGTGCCTTAATGTATTTGTGTTTTAAATATAGATGCTGGGCCAGATGCTCATACATGAAAGCAGGGAATTTGAACATGAGAATGTTTTCAATGTCTTCATCCCCATTAGGAGCAGGGTTGAGATCGGCACCCTTTTGGGAAATTTGATGGTGTTAGAATGTAAATATCTTTTAGGTAACAAAATCTCAATAATGGAAGTCACTTGGAAACAAAATTAACTTTGCTTTTTAAGGTTGTTTGTTTGTTTGTTTTTTGGTAAATATTTTGGCCATGAAATGCATGAAAGCAATGCTATTTGGCATTTAATTATTCAAGATAAACATGGCTGGCCGACAAGCTTCTTGGAGAGAGTGAGCCATCACACTGAAGAAGCGGGCTCCCTTTCCTTATAGCTTTCATTTTACTGTAAGACGTTTGGTTGTCTGGTTCAAGAGCGCAGGATTAAATTCTAAGAATACAGAGGAATAGTGAATCACATTTTTATTGTCAACAATCAAAGTTATTGCTATTTCCTACGCGGACAGAAGGATGAAGAAAATCATGGCAGTTCTTTTTTTTTTTTTTTCTGGAAAAAATTGTCTAATGCCGTTCCATATTATTTAAGTCTGGAAAACAAATCACAAAATTTGAAGTAGAGTACATTTGGCACTGCCTATGCGGTGCACATGCACAGGCTTGGGTCTGCTTTCTTCGAATAGAAATCTAAATAACCCAAAGACTGCACAGTCAAAAAGGATAAGTCTCTATCAAGCAGAAGCAATCATCAAACTAATGGACACTCCATCCTCTGGAGAGTTTCCTGTGCTTTCTGCATCAGTTTACAAAGGAGAGCCGGCTAGGAAGCCCTTGCCCCTCCCTTTCATATGGCTCAATCCCCAACCACAGGTATGATGAAATTTAGCTGGAGGGCTACCAAGCACGGAGTACTAATAATGAGGGGATCACTGACTGCGCTCAAATATTGAGGCCATTTTTCATCCACATTATTGTAAATGGAACAAGGCACTGAAATATGGGAAATTCCCATCAGTGCCAGATAACTGACAACTCTACCCCTTCAGTGAGGGAGGAGACAATTGCTTGGGGCCCTTTTCTTAGATTAATTTTTCCAGACATTTTCCCAAACAATATGTAATTAATCTTATAGAACCAAGGCCTTATTAAAAACTCATTAGCAAATATCCTTGGCTGTAAAAGGCACCATATTGAGCAGAATTTTGGCAAATAATAAACTTCATTGTACTAGGCGAGAAATGGCCTGAGGTGCCAACAGCTCCCCGGGCTTAGAGCAGTTAATGTAATCGCTGCTCCAACAACTCAGCTTCCTGCCCTGCTTAGGGCCCAGAACTTTAGAAAGCACAGACTGCCTTCTACCCTCCCCATCACTTCAAGAGGGCACAGGCATTTCCTGTAGCCACCATGGTGAGCATGCAGGTGAGGCCAACTCTGTATTTAAGGTATGGAAGCTGTGGCTAAGGAGCCTTTGCTGACGAAAAAAGTGGAAGTGATGGAAAGAGAAATTTGGACTGGAAGGGTCAAAGCCAGCCTGGCTACATAATATGATAAACCCAAGACCACCTTGGGCTGCATATTGAGACAGAGAGAGGGAGAAGAGGGAGAGAGGGAGAAAAGGAGAGGAAAGGAAGGAAGGAGGGGGTGGAGGAGAGGGAGGGAGGAAGAAGAAGGAACTAACCAAAAAAGAATTTCTAAATGGTTAACTTCTTTGATGTTGCACTGCTTTAGTTTGTTGTCACCTGAGAGGAGGACAATGGTGCCAGCGAGAACCCCATGCCAGGTTCCTCTGACAGTCATGACTAACCCGTGTGTACAATGGTTGCTCTTAGCTCCTGGGGCAGAGCAGAGCCCTCTTTCTCAGCTGGGCTGTAGAAAGGCCTGGCTCCACCAAAAACAAAAAGCAAAACTCCAGGCTTCCCTAACTAGGCTGCTTCTAGGGGAGAAGGTGAAACAGGCTGTTGGGCTCCGCCCTATCGCTGCTAAGTCAGAATCCTACAGGTTGCCCTGAGGTCAGGGTGGCAGCATAGGGAACTGGAGGTGTCTGAGTTCCCGGAAGGAGGCAAGTGGGGCCAGGATTCGAGGTGGTGCTGACATTTCTTCTCTTACCAGACAAAGACGGGAAGAAGAGTGGGAGTGACAAAGCCATTTCCACATCTCTGATGATAAAGTAGTGCTCTACGGATCTAGTAATAACGAGCTTTCTTCAAGTAATGATCCAGTAACAACAGCTACGTTGTTTACTAGTGTTTATCCATGCAGTCGTCACTCTTCGTAATGAGGGAGAAAAATCAGACTTGAATAAAATCACAGCTATTTGCAGTTCTGACTGGCCGACCCGGCACAAGGTGGAAACTCTTTCATCCATTCTCCGTCTTTTGCCTTTGAAGACTTGCACATATGTATTTGTGCATGAGCGTGCATACACGTTATATGTCAGATGGATAGTAACTAGATAATGGACAGTTAATGGAGACAGGTAGATAGAGAGCAAAAGTCCAAGGAAGGAAGGAAGGAAGGAAGGAAGGAAGGAAGGAAGGAAGGAAGAAGAAAGACGAGCCCCACCACATACAGAAAGATCTGGCAGGACAGCAGCTGGGTGGGAGCAGTGTATAAATTATTTTAAGCTATTGTAGTGATAAGCTGTCCCAACCAAGAAAGCCCTTTGGAGCATGTAATTTAGCGATACAATTTTGGTTTTTTTTGTTTTCAGAGATAGTTTCTCTAGGTAGCCCTGAATATCCTGGAGTTTGCTATGTACATCAGGCTGGTCTTGAGCTCATAAGAATCTGCCTGCCTCTGCCTTCCAAGTGCTGTTTTGTAAAAGACATAACCCAGTCCTGTCTGCAGTCCTTGCCATATGCTACTCTTCATATCTAATCTTAACCAATGAACTTTAAAAATCAATCTTCAAACAAAGATGCCATTTTTTTTTTTCAGCAAAAACCTTTCCATCTCTCTGTGGTTGGTTCTCAGTCCAGCTGCAAACAGAATTAAACTTTAGAAAACCAAAGATGGATGCTCAACTCCTAACTGCACAGGCTTTGGCTTAATTGGTCCAGAAATGGTGACTTCTGATGTATAGCCAAGATCTGGTCTTTGAGCTATTTAAATAGCTATCAATACCACCAAAGATTTTACTTAGAATGTATTTTAAAACAAATCAGACTGGGGAGATGGCTCATTTGGAAAAGTGCTTGCCATGCAAACTTGAGAAACTGAATTTGATTTCCCAGAACCACAGTGTAATCCTGTCACTGGGGAGGCCAAGACAGGCTTGCTGGCCAGCCAGTCTAGTTGAATTGGTCAGTTCCAAGTTCAGTGAGACAACATGTCTCAAAAAAGTAAGGTGGTTAGTGATTAAGGAAGACACCTGACATTACTATCTGGCTTACACACACACACACACACACACATGCACACGCACACACACACAGGGGGCATGCATTTATCCATGTGCACAAATACATGCATCCTCATACACACACACAAGAAATCGTTGTAGTAAGTGACTGGTGTATGAACAGAGTCCTCAAATGTATTGCAGTTAATGGTGTCTTCATGTATTTGTGAAAAGATGACCCTTCTCACACATTTTGGGCTTAAAGATAAGCCCCAAATTGCTGGGAGAGTGCATCAATGACTCTTATGCTCACTTCTAGATTTACAATGTCCATTACACCATGAGTATCAACGGGAAATTACAAGATGGCTCAATGGAAATAGATGCTGCGAATAACTTGGAGACCTTTAAAATGGGAAGCGGGGCTGAAGAAGCGATTGAAGTGAATGATTTCCAGAACGTAAGTACATTTTACGAATTTAGAGAGTCTGACAGGTGAGCCCTGGCTTTTCCGGTTGGAGGAGAAGCAGCAGCTCTCAAGTCCACACCATGGTGCCTGTTCTTCACAGCAGCTTCGGTGCCACCAACCCATCTGTATTGTGTAGCTGCTGCTCCTTTAGGAAGGGCCTGGTCTTGCCCTCCATGTTCTCAAGAGGAAAGACAAACATGGGAGAATACACAAAACAACAAAACCCTTTTGGGTGCAGTAGGCCCCACTGTTAGGGAGGATGACACAGGAGGACATCACTCAAGCCCAGGAGTTTGAAACAGCCTGGGCGATATGAGAGTCCCATCTCTAAGCAAGAAAAAGGGGGGATTTAAAAAGGAAACAAATAAGGCAAGACAAAACAGTTCATGCCCTTGGAGAACTGTTTGAAAAGTGAATTTATTTCTAGAAAATAAAAGATACATGAACTTGGAAGTCAAAACAAAGTTTTTTTTTTTTTTATGGGAAAACATAATGTCATTGACAAGAACAGAGTCTTCTTGGAACTGCACAAAGTTCTCAAGAAGGACTCATGAAAACTAAGTCACTCCAAGTGATCTTCTAGAACTTGGCATACAAAATGCTCAAATAATCTTCAAAGACAGTAAGGGCAAAACTTTGGATTTCTAAAGAACCAAGACATTTTAATGACTAGATAGTTTGTCAACAACAATGAGTTCTACTTCCACATTTTTCTAATTTCCATTTAATCCAGAAAATAAGGATGGATGAATTCCTATTAACAGTCCAGGTTTTTCTGGCATGGCCTATTAGAAAAGAAACATTTGAGTCCCCTTTTTGTTTTGACCGAAATATAATTTACAGGCAATTTGAGACATTGGACTGTTCACTGATGCTTCAGTGTGCATCTGCTAACAGAATTGTCACTCAGGCTGACAAAATCTCATTCTCTTATGTTCTGTGATGAGGAAGAAGCATCAGTATTTGCTAAATCTGCAGACGAAGGAGGTGAAGCTTCATAATGAAGGAGGGCTCTTGAAAATAATGTCTCTTCTGATAGTTTATTGGTCTACAAACATCTCATCAACCCATCTTTCTCTTATTGATGAGACAAACGAAAGAAGCTTTTCATTTACACCAAAGCACTCCTCTTGTGGGAACCAAAACACGCTTCCCAGGCCTTTGTGAATTCCCAGCAGATGCTAGCGTTAGTGCTCTGAGCTGCTGAGCCTCGACGCTGACAAGGCCTGGCTGTGTCCATAGAGGGCCCTGCCCCGGGGACAGGCTCTGCAGCTCTGCGTGCACCCAGCTGCACTTTGTTTGGTTACCACACTGCAAATGGTTCTGGTCTGTGCACAAGTATAATTTCTCTGGACCTATTAAATGCTTTTACTGCAAAACCCAGGACAGGAAAAAACATTTTTTTTTTCTCTGCACTACTCAATATAAACCCATAAAATGCGGCTCCACCACACGCATCATTCAGTCTAGAGCAAAATGGAATACCTATGCTGTGCCACAATGCCAAAATATGCAAAGAGGGCTGTGAGGATGAATTATAAAAGGCCCCTCACTCTGAAGAGGTCGATGTGTCAAGGACATTCTCTGAAAATATTTTAATCCCAAACCTATATATCTGTTTTATAATCCTTTGGTTCTTTCTAATAATGGTATTGATTGTGTTTTGTTCTCATAGACCAACAGGACCACAAATATTTTATAAACTGATCAATTCTCTTTGATAGCTTCTACATTTCTCTAAGTCAAAACTGGTGAGTGGAACATTTTTTTGATGGATAGTGCCTGTTATGGGTTTAAACAAGCCTGGACTTCTGAAAAGTCATGAATCAGCCTCTGTGGTCATCTCCTATTACTTTTGCCTCTATTTTAAAACATCAGTCAAACAAAGGAAGTGTTGATTGAGGTTCACTGTATGCGGGGATGGTGTTAAGCACAAGGGATTCAAGATGACTGACATTTATCCTTCAAGGACCTTCTGGTCCAGTCGAGGAGAAAGACGTACACACAGAAATGTCTTAGGTCAGCCCAGAAATGTGGCATGATGAGCTATGGGCAGAGGGAGCATGGTCCACAGGCAAAGGCATCCCTGCCAATTAGAGGCTTTGCACAGGCCTGGCAGAGGTGAAGACACAGTAATTGAATAACGTCCTGAGGAATGATTTGTGGTGCTGGGAACTGAAGCAAGGGCCTTTCTCATGCTAGACTGGCACTCTGCCACTGAGCTATAGCCCCAGCCCTTTTGAGAAATGCCTTGAACTTTAACAGGGTGGGCTGGGAAGGATACTACGAAAGGATTAGCAGTCTGCCTCCCAATGTGGTCAGCTCGGTCAAGGATGGGAATGGAGATCGATGGAGGTTCGGGTGGGGCTAGATCGTGAACAGTTCCGAACCGTGAATTGATACCCAGGACCCCAGTTTTTTAACAGAGCTCAACAGAGAACAGACGCTTTAAGAGAGAGGAGCATTGAAAAAAAAAGTGCTCTAAACTTTGTTCCCTGAGACAAAAGCAAAACAAAACAAAAACAAAAAACAAGACAGGGTTGATTCACAGTGCGTGATTTATATTTTAAAAGATTACGCCCTGACAAGCATCCATGCTATTGGCTAAAGCCAAGTTCCTCAGACCTGAAACCATATTTTAGTTTTAAAAAAGGCCATGAGTAGAAACTAAGAATAGACAGTAGCAGTAAGTGAGTATGAGTATTCTGGGTTTTCAGAAAACAATTCTTTTAATATGTGGATATTTGAAATTTGTGATTTAAAAGCTGGAGGGGGAAAAATACAGCATAACGGTAGGCTATTGATTTCAAAAATCAATATAACCCTCAACTGTAATATAAAGGAACAGTAAAATGAAGGTAATTTGTTGTGAAATATGGATTTCATATGTACATGCTCAGCCAGACACATTAGCTGACGTTAATAAAGTGAAGTACATGCACTGGTCATTCAAGGACTTTTCAGTGCCACGCCTGCAAATCAGATGGTCACACGTGTGCTTTGACACCTAAATGTTATGAATCTTTCTCAAGCAGTAGGGCTCAGTATTGAGCTCTGGATAGACATGGCTATGCATGCCTGCCATTCCGGAACTTGAGAAACTGAAATGGGATTGTGAGTTTGAGACAAGCCTGAGAGTCTGTCTGGAAAATAAAACAAAAACTAATTTATTTCCACTTCTAAGCAACTGTTTACAGGAACCTCACTGTGCTGTGAGCTATGCCCAGTCACTTTCATATGTAAAATGAAAAGGGCCTTCTGTGCCAGGAGAAACACCTACAAACAGCTTCGTTTTCGAGGGCCCAAGACAGTTGGTTCTATGGGAATCCAGGACTTTAGGGGACCCACCAAGGCCAGACTACCCCAATCTTTATATCAGACTCTCCCAAAGATTTCTGAAATGCCTGTTGGTGGGGAGCAAGACATCCTTCTCTCCTTGAAGCCCTCCCTTAGGAAGCACAGCCAGAGTGATTATCATGTGGCTCTTTTGATGAATAAGTGTTAGCTTTTTTATTTTTTGTTCTTTTTTTTTTTTTTTTTAATCTTCACTTGTTGCCTTTGTTAGCAAATCTCCTCATTATCACTGGCTTCCAGGGCCCTGCATGCTTGCTAACACAGGCGGTCTGCTTGACTTTCTTGTACTTCTCCATATGTTTAATCTCTTACTATATCTGTCCACTTGTAAATCTGCAGCTAGGCAGGATGGCTACGTGTGAATTTCTTTCCACTGGTCCCACCCTGTGGGCTGTCAGCAACCCGTGCGGTGTGTGCACCGTCAGAAGTAACTCAGCGCTAGGCCCACTTTCAGTGTCTCTCCGGGTGTGCTGGAATGATGTATGGTTTCCTCCCAACACATCTCATATTCAGAGAGCATGTGCATTTGAAGCTAGAAAACATACCACATAGGTTAAAAACAAAAAAAAAAACAAAAAACCTTCTCTCATTTTTTAGGCTGCAAGTCCTAGGTTTCCGTGCAGAGCAGGAGCAGCAGAACTTTGGGAAATAGCATAGCAGACACCAGATACCTCAAGCTGTATTCTTTGAGGTAGCAGCAAGGCAGTCTTTGAGGGCTTGCTGCAAATATAAACTTCGGACACACTGAATCAGAAAACCTCCCCTGGGCTTGAGACCCAACCCTCTGGGTTTTGTCCCAGTGACTCTGGTACAAACAGATGCTTATGAGCCCCAGGTACAGGAGAAACTCGAGCTAAAAGACTGTTACAATCATTTGAAAAACTACTCTGAACAAGTTTCCTTTGCCCTAAACTGCTGGGCCTCAATTCTAGCTGTCCGTCATTGACATCTGGTAGGTTAAGAATACTCGGAGACTGAGCCCCACATTACAGTGCAATAAGACTCTCTTGGGACAGCCCAGCAGCTAGGTTCTGTTTTTAGGTTGCTTTAGCTTGTTTATTTTGACAAGATCTCATATACCCTAGGCTGGCCTACATGCTCAACTATATAACCAAGGATGACCTTGAACTTTTAACCCTCCTGCCTCCACCTCCCCAGTGCTGTACTGCCAAGCCCGTTTTTGCCCACTATGTTCTTAAAATCTCTCCAGGGGACTTTGGTGCCCAAAGTAGACCTCTGTAGTCAGACATGCCTCTGGCCTGTGCAGGAGCTGGGTCAGGAGAAACAAGATAACAGGGCTTTTAATGGATGTATGATCAAGAAGACCTCAAGGCAAAGAATGGGCCATACAGGAAGACTCATCTTCCCTCCTTTATTCCAAGTCAGCCTCCGTAGTTTTCAGGTCCTGAGTGTGACTATGGTTGGCCCCTGTGATTCTCCTCCAGCATGACTTCATTGGAGGTCAACTTCATTCTCCATTTAAGAATCCCGAGCCTGCAGCACTGGATTTGTGCTTTCCTTCCCCCACTCATTAGCACTGACTCAAACAGGTTCATCCTTGTCCTATACTGACCTCAACATGACAGGTGGCCATCAAGGATCAGACATGTGGTGGAATCTACACTATTAAGTATACATTTTATGACCTTTAAGAATATTCAGATGCCTCTAATTCATCATGAGCAGACATCAGCAGAGTCAAAGCAATCGCTCTCACGTCCTCTGCAGGTGAAAGCAGTGCCCAGCCATCAACTCGAAAGGAGCTCGGTGCCGATGCGTCCCTTAAGGCTGGTCCCCAGCCAGGAGGAGACAGTGTTTATATCTCAGAGGGGACAAAACAAAACTCTAAGTCCTTGGGTAAGGGTTATCTCCTGGTGCTGTGTAAAGCTTTCCTGTTTACATCAGACTCAGCAACTTGGGAAAGCTCAGAATTAAGGGAATTCATTAATTTGACCAGCATCTCATGAGAAGCTTTGCAGGATCACAGATGCGCACACGCACATGCGCACACCGGATGCTAAGCTCAAGAAGTTTACAACTGAGAGCCGTAGATCAAGTGCCAATGCGCACACCGGATGCTAAGCTCAAGAAGTTTACAACTGAGAGCCGTAGATCAAGTGCCAAATGAAAGACGAAGCTTTGGAACAGTCAGAGACCAAGAACGCACCCAGGCCACAAGCTCAGAAAAGGCTGCGTGGATGGAGGGGCAGTTCATCCCAGCTTCGGGATGGATGGATGGAGTAAACTTGAAGCAGGTGGCCCACATAGCACCCCCTCACAGCCACGCCTCCTGAGGGCGCTCTCTGAAGCACCCTCCTCTGCCTCTCCTAGCCTTTTCATCAGGCTTATTTTTCTCTACAACTCTTCTTTCTACCGCAATTTATAGTTTCTTCTTATTGGAGAACAACGCTAAAGGTAAATTCCATGAGAGTCAGGATTTCATCTTGTGAGTTTATCCCTATACCCAACAGCTGGGATGGTTGGCGTGTAAGACGCATAATGAACCGAGTCAATAAGTGATGGACGGATATGCTTTTATCTCATAGGGTATCACCGGGATCCGATTTGCTGGAGGAGAGAAGTGCTACATCAAAGCACAGGTGAAGGCTCGCGTCCCTGAGGTGGGCACTGTGACCAAGCAGAGCATCTCCGAACTGGTGGGTATCACCACACGTGACAGGCGGACACTGAAGACACCATCTTTTTCCTGGGCAGGTTCATGACTACAACCTACCTTTTATTTCTTCTCTGCCAGAAGAATGTAGCTGTCCTGCTGGCTCCAGGCGATCTTTCTGCTGTGGTGCAGCATAGTTAAAGGTTGGGGAGAGCCATGTTTTAAGGTGCCTTAGGTGTGACAGCTCAGTGAGTAAAGGCACTTGCTGCCAAGTGTTAATCCTAAAACTCAAGAGAGAGAAAAAAAAAAACAGTTCCACAATTTTGAGCCAAATTTGAAGCAAGCTTTAATTAAATAGTGGCCACGTTGATGGACTCTGGTCAGGTCCATTCCTGCCTCCCAGGGAATGACCACAAGTCACATTTTGCATAGGCTTAAAAAAGGCAAAACCCACAATTCACTGCATTTCCCATCAGGTCCAATCCGGTCCAAGCTTACATCGTGATGTATTATTTCCTTCCTACAGACCTCCCTCCTATATCCACATCTGGTACAAAGAAACTTGTTTAGGAAAGCAAAAACAGTGGCTTGGGCAAGCAGGGCTTACAGGTTAACTTTGTCTCTTACACAAGCCTGACAGCTTGAGCTGGATCCTGGAACCCACGTGGTAGAAAAAAGAAACCAGCTCCCTCAAGTAGTTTTCCAACTGCCACTGTGTGCTATGGTCATACCCCCCCCCCCGAGTGTGTGCATGCACAGACACATGCACACACACTCACATACATTCAAGTGCACACACACAAATAAATAACCATAAAAAATGTTGAGGTGCATTAGGGCCTTGGCATATAGATGGCCCTTATTTATCCAATGTTAAATGCTATCAAATCAATGGCTAGAATTTCAAAATAAATAAATGTTAAAGTCCACAAGGGAAAATCTTCATTAAAGGGACTTTAAGAAGCCCCCTGGCCTCAGCCCCACAAAATGTAGGAATCCTTCCCAATATTCTGCATAGCTGGTCATGCAGCCTCTTCCAGAAAGCTGGGGCAGAGCACTCTCTCATGGGTGTTTTGTCCAGCCCTGAGCTGAGATACTCTCCTGCAGTTCTCCCCTTATGTCCAAGTCAGCTTAATGAAGCTGGACACACCCTGTGGGTTGTTTTTCTAAGCAAGAAAATTGAATCAAAGGTCTTGCTAGCAGGGCCTAAGCTATATCCCTGTTTTTTTTTTTTTTTTTTTTTTACACACAGGCTCTCACTAAGTCACTCAGTGTCGAGGTTAGCCATGAAAGCTTAGGATAGGATAGAACTCACTACATAACCCGGGCTGACCTCAAACTCTCTACATATTCTAGAAAGCACACTCCTCCCATTGGTTATGAGTAGCTTGCCTGGTGTTTTGTTGGTTTTGTGTCACTGGCACTTGAACTTAAGGCCTCACACATACTAGGTAACCACTCCACAAGATACACACACACCAGTCCTGGACGCAGTTAATAATAATGCTTCCCATCCTACACCTTTAGGGCCTACAGAGTAGTCACACCCAAGACTGTCTTTCTGAGCTGAGGCGGGGTGGTAGGAGGAAGGCACACTTGGGCACCATGAAAACATCCAAACCCCAGCTCTGCCACCTGCTGCAAATGTGGCTATAACTCTTTGGGCCTCAGTTTTGTCATCTTCAAACTGTTGCGTACACACTGTGTGCATGGCCTTAGAACCTTAGAACCAACCAGAAGGAGAATGGGAAGACTGCTGCTCATAATTGCTAATTTTATTATGATCATCTCTGAGCCTTCAGTATCCCAGAGAGGGAAGTGAATGGAGTTCAGATCCCTCAGGGCCACAAAGGGAAAAGGTGCCTGGAAACCACCTAATTGTTTGTTCCCATGGGAGCAGCAGCAGGTGATGTCAAAACAGAACAAAACATAAACTACAGACAAACCTGTGGCCTTTGAAAGAGGGCTGGGATGTCCCCTGTCACATCTTGTGTACAGCCAGGTACCACAGTGTTCTCACTGTGAGATGGCAGCCGAACCTCCACTCTCCATTCATTCTCCCTGTGAGCTGTGCTGCTCAGAGTCAAAGGCCATGTGCTCAGTAAGAACTCACAAATGGCAGCCTAAAAATGGGTGGGAACTTGATAAGCCAGGCAGTGGGGGCATGTGCCTTTAATCCCAGGACTCAGGAGGCAGACGCAAGTTTGAGGCCAACCTGATCTACAAATCTAATTCCAGGACAACCAGGGCTAGACAGAGAAACCCTTGGTAAAAAAAAAATTGATAAATACATGGAAGTGTAGGGATGAGTATCACAACTACATAATGTTAATAGTTGAATTTTGAAAGTCTTTTAGCCAAATATTTTGGGTTCCCTCAATTTCAGATAATAGTACTTGAAAGTAATTATTCAGCTGTGATAATTTTTTGTATTTTAATTTTTGCACTTGCTTCTTAGATGAAAGTAGATTGTCTCAAATTTTTTTTGTCACTTACAGCCTGCATGGTGGATCCTATGATAGATAAAAATAAATCTGGGAAGTGCAGTTGGGTAAATCAGCCATGTTTGTAGCCCACATGCTCTAAGACGGACAGCACTCCTGGTTCACAGAACGCATCTGCGTGGAGCATCCCACCACCCCCATCTCCACACTCTTCAGGCTATGACGGGGCAAATTTATGTGCCACTTGCTCTCATAAATTTTTCAGCAGTTTTGAATAACTTTAAAAGGCTCCTGTGCTCAAAGAGCATTCATTTCCTAGTTGGAGCCATTTAATTTGAGGTAAATAACTGGATTACCTGAGTGTTAACTTCCTCCAATAACTTCAAGTTGCTTAATGCAGCCCTATGCCTGAGGGAGAAAACACAAGTGAAGTGCTGCTTTTACCTCAAGTGAGGAGAAAATATTTTAATTTCTCCAACCTACTGCAAAGTAATAAATACATGAAAGGAACAACCTGGCAAAAATAAATTTGTCTCCTGGGTTATCAAGCAGTCCTCAGCATCTCGCCGTAGAAGGAAATCTGAGGCTTAGCTTTGAAATCTCAGTGGCGCGCTTGATGTGAGGAACATCTGAGATGTTTTGCTATAGCTGGGAACCGGAGAAATGGTTTATGTTAAATAATACTTTGAACTGGAGACATTAAAGAACCAATCACTTGCTTTTTCCATTGTTGTTTGGAAGCTGCAGAACAAAACCCCCAAAAGATTTTCACTTCAAATGAAGGGTTCCTCTATCCTTTATAGGATTTCAGACTTTGTTCAATTGCTTTTCCTCAAAAACATCTTTGATCAAAAACATCAGATTAACCTAAATCTCAAAGTTGGTATCAAGCAATTTTCACTTCGACTCTAAACACGTCTATTCACACATTACAGCTGTCAGGAAGCAGGGTGTTGGGAGGTGTGCTGACTACTGGGAGAGCTAGACACTGGACCCTTAAAATGTGCACGCATAGTAGGTGCGCACACAGAATTGTCCCTGAGTTTGCACAAAGCAAAATAATCCTTCTGTAGTCTGACTCAACAAGCAGCACGCTCCACCGTCCTCTGCTCACATGCATTTTCTTTTTACAGGAAGGCAAGATCATGCCAGTCAAATACGAAGAAAACTCTCTCATCTGGGTGGCCATGGACCAGCCCGTGAAGGACGACAGCTTCTTGAGTTCTAAAATCCTTGAACTCTGTGGCAACCTGCCTATTTTCTGGCTTAAACCTATGTACCCAAAAGGTACGGTTTTACATAATAGTTTCCTGTATAACAGAGCTTGGAATGCTCCCTGTCACTATGGCTCTTGGGAGCCTCCTCCGCCTGAGCATGGGACCAAAAAAAAAAAAAAAAAAAAGGGGGCAACCTGGAACAATTGTTGGCTGAGTGTTGGTAACAGGCATGAGAGATAAAAGAAAAATGATGGGGTGGGGATGAGGGAATGGGGATGGGGCTGAAGGGGTGGGGTGGACTTGCAGTGTGGAAAGAAGCACAACGGGGTTCACAGGAGGCAAGGCAGGAAGACAGAGCACCTCTGTATACCTGCCGCTTTTATTTATGACACCCTTGCTTCTTCCTGCTCTGCCCCTTAATCTCAGCTGTTTGCACCTTCCAATTTTACATTTCTTTATTCTCAGAGTATAGCATCAGGGGACTAAGAAGCTGTCATGCTGCTGCTGCTTTATTATATTCGAACCTAGAATTATGGGACAGCCAAAAGCTGCTGTGGGTATAGGCTGAGATTCTTCAAGTTCAAGGCTTGAGCATCTGCTTCAAACCCAAAGAAAATAAGCGCAGGGTCCCCATGGCGTCAGGCTGAAGCACACCTTTGGGCATTTCTGGGTGACAAAGGGCAGGTGAGCCCAGCGGGCCTTACTTTCTCTCATCCCCGAAGGGCCTCACACTTCATTTCTACCATGGTCAACACACTGGTTTCCCCAAGGCCTACTTTGCAGCTGTGGCTCAGGCGGAGGGGGAGACCATTCTCCTTGCACATATGAGATAGGCTGTTTTCAGAAAGGTTTTATTCAATAGTAGAAGACAGCAATGAGGGAATGGGAAAATGCAGGCATTGAACCCATTACGCTTGGTAGGGCACTGTTTAAAGAAGAAAGAACCATATACCTTAAAAAAAAACAAACAAAAACAGCTCCGTGGATGGAGGGTGGTGATGGTTATATAGCCGTGCTGGTGAATGTGCTTAATGCCCTGAGCTATACAGCTAAAACCCACTAAAGTGAGCCGGGGCTGGTAGCACTGTTGTTAACCCTGGCACTAGCAAGGCTGAGGCAGGATCCTCAGTTGGAGGCTATCCTCAGCTACACAGTGAGGGCAGCCTGTGCTATATGATACCCTGACCCTTGCTATGCTTGCTTTACCACAATCAGAACAATACCCTACCAGGCATAGAAAGTATAGATTTCTGATTCTACTATGATTGACTAACTGACTGTTCACAAGTGTCACCTTGCTCCAAAAGTGTGGAGAAGATGGCTACTCAAAGCCCACATCAAGTAGTGCCACGTCACACCCGTCAGAGGGTAGAGAAAGACCCTGAGGCCACAGGCAAGGCTCAGTAAGAAACAATGGCCCAAGACTGTAGAGCTAAAGCAAGACCACAGAGTGCACTCGCTGCATTCCTGCCATCTCTGTCCATGTACCTCAATCCCATGGCCACAGCCCGCTCGCCAGTCCCCACTACTGTGATCTAGTTGGGACTTTTTGCTTTCTACCACCCAGAAATATCATGTTCTCCATTCAAGGACTAGAGTCTACCCACTACCACGTACAGCTCTTCATGATCTCAGGATAAGCCTCAGAACTACTTTGCGTTCACTCACTCATTTACAAAGTGTAATTTACAGACTTACATTTATGAAGGCCTATCCTGCGCCATGTCACCTGTTCTAGGTATGAGATGCATCAGGGACCACAACAGAAAGCAATCTATACTCTCAAAGAGTTTCATGTTGCAGGGCCGGAAAGACAGCTCAGTGGATAAGGATCGTGGTGAGTACCAGGTCCCAGTAAGAAACCAATATTTAAGAAAATGCAAAAACAAACAAACAAACAAAAAGGTTGATGGCTCCTGAAGAACAAGGTTAACCTCTGACCTACACACATGCGAAAATATGTAGACTGTGTAGTAACAGGAGATGCTAAGCAAAATACACTGCAAGCGACAGGGAGTGAAAATGGAGTCTGGACAAATGGCAGTACCAAGATGAACGAACGACACCACCCCTAGAAACAAGCTTATTCCCCTTGTCTAAGATGCCCCTTTGACCCTTCTAGCATAAACACATGATAGGATCTTTCACACTCAGTCAGTACAATATCTACACAAGATTTACTGAAGGTGAAGGCTGGAGGTAGAGAGCAGAGTACTTGCCTGGTTTGATACCCAGCACCATAAAAAATAGACATTACAATGGAGACTTTATATAAAAATGCCTCAGATTAGCGAAGGACTAAGTAAATATTCACATGTACATAAGAATATCATAGGCATTAAAATGAGCTTCCCCCAGTCTGTGATAAGTGCAGTTGTACTTTATGATAAAATGAAGAAATTAAATCTCTCCCCTGGGATGCCCACCTCCTGTCTGGTTCTAGTAAGTCTTGCAGCCCGAACGCTGTTGATGACAACAGATCAGCATCACACTGATGGATAATCAAAGGTGGATGGTGGGCGGACACAGAGCAGAGATGGACAGCCAATGTCCTAGAGCAACACACTTTGTCCTCATTTATTCTTTACCAACAACTGCCGACACAACTACTCATAGACCCAAGATCCAGAAAGAAAGATACTAAGATGAAGAGGGACTAATTTGCCTGAGGTTCTTCAACTAGCTGAGGACATGTGAGCTGAATTCAAGTCTGCTTGGTGTTTCTCCCATCAAGCTAGCTACGGCTTCAAAGCACACCTAACTTCTCCAAAATAACAAATCATAGGAATGCTACCAAACATTTGTATGCTTATTACATGCCAAGACCCTTAGATATGGTTTTCTTTAGCCCTACTATTACTCTATGAATGAGGTACTATCTCCATTTTAAACAAAGAAATTAGGGCTCAGAGAGACTACAGTAAATGCTACGTGGACCTTTCCTCTGTTACTCACCTGTCAGCTGCACTGCAGGATATGTGCCGAGATGCTTAACCGGAGCGCTGGGTTGGAAGCAAGGGTTCTCGTCTAGTCCTTGCTGTCATTCAGTCTGTGATCTTGGCCAGCACCTTGATGTCTGCACCTTGCTGCCCTGATACATAAAAGCATCTGATTTTTTTTTTATCCCATGGGATTTGTTTTTGAAGAATTAACCTAGACAATGTCTCATGAAAATGTACAGCTTTATATCTATGTAATTGAGTATATATATTCAATTAGGATTACATAAGGCTGTGGGTTATAGCATACTTGACCAGCATGATTTCAGTGCTCAGGCTGTTTTGTATACTTATAACCCAAAGTCAGTAGATACAAGGTTTCTGGCATTGTGGCCACTCCATGACACCAGAAGTCTCCTTTTAGCTTACCATTTTGCTCTCTGTAGCATCTACCTTATCATCCTTGTGCTTATTTATCAGTTCCCAATTCTAGATAGCCCAGCTACACCCAGGAAAAACACACAAAAACAACTTTCTGTCCTCTTTTATCAAAAAAGCAAAAGCTTTCCCACACACAACGCTAACCTATTCTGCTTATATCTTAGACTTAGAAATAGCTTGCTGGCTGCTCCTCGCTGCAAAGAATGCAGAGAAAATGGGTAATGTTTTATTTTCCCCTATAGTGAAGTAAGGAAAAGAAAAAGGGCTTGTAATAAAAGCCTGTCAAACAACCACCAGTGTCTGCTCCAATCGGTGTTATAAGGCTGAATGAGAAGCCAGTGTCTGGCTCATACTGCAGCTGTCACTCTAGGACGCAGGTCTGGCTGCCTTAATTGTTCATGTAAAAGAATAATTAATAGCAACTTTTGCAGAAACCCAGAGAGAGAGAAGAGAAGTAGTGAGAAACATTCTTTCTACCACGAGGAGACCACAGAGTGAATCTCGAGGCAACCCAGGCCCTAGAAGACAGAATAATGAGACCAGGCCCAGTGTTCAGGACGACGCAGAACCTTTCAACCCGGACAACCCTTACCACGTGCGTACCAGTGTTTTCATGCCATGGCCAGACAAATACATTACATGTGATGCTGAAAGGGCATTTCTAAGTGGGGCTTCATGCAAGCATAGACATTCTCATGTATTTGGTGCAAATTCAAAGTTGTTTCCTGTGCCTTTTTTTGGGGGGAGAGGGTGCAGGGGGGAGGGTGTTGTTCGTTTTTATTTGGTTTTATTTTTTTGGTCTGAAGGAAAATCCATGAAAATAAACACTACCAGGAATCTGATCATTTAAGTGTTCCCAAAAGTGTGCCCTCAAGGCAACACACAGAATGAAAGTATTCTCTTTCCCTGCTTACATCCATTCCGTTCATCCACTCCACACACATTTGTGGATTTCCTGATCTTTCTCAGGCCCTGTGCCCAGAGAGTCGACTCCTACTTCTGCCCTCAGGGCTCTCAGTCCAGACAGGGGATAGACTTACACTGTAAAATACTCTAAGCTGAAGTGCTGAAAACTGGGGCTTGTAAGAAGGGCACTAACGGATTAAAACCCCAAATCTTTTAAGAGATATTATTTCCCATTACTATACTTAGCAGAGAACAAAAATAGAATATTTATATGTGTAGCTAGTTTTAAAACTAAGTATAAGCACACTTTTAAAAAATAGAATTAAAATATACAGTGAAATTGAGCTTCCAAAACCTTCTACCCCAGACATCTTCCCTACAACAGCTTATTAATGACTATTTGTTCAAATTCTTTGCAGGAGTACACACAGAGAAAAGCACACCCTTTCAGTACAAAAATTCCCTTCTGTCTTTCAAGTAGAATATAGTATTTTGAGAAGTCCTCTGTCCCTTTTTATATTGTACCACCCTCAGTTAATGGCTTTTATCTAGTTAGGAGCATTCTAACAAAGAAACAGGTATGTGCTAAAACTTAACTCATTTGGCTGTAGTGGGCTAAAAGCCGCTCCCTCTCATTCACTACTGCTAATGCTGTTGTAGAACACCTCTGCATGAGATCTTAGCGTAGAGACACTATGAGGGAACTATGTTGCTGGCATAAATACCAAAGCATAGTTCTGACACATAAAGTAGATAGCAGTTGTGGATATTGCTGGAGCTCTCCAAACTGTTTTCCAAGAGACACACCATCTATGTGTCTGTAGAAGGTAATGGAAGGTCCCAGTTCCTACCAGACTTTCCTGGACACATGGCACGGCAGGGACTACTGAATCCAAGCATCTTGCTTGCTAAGTATAGACCCTACCACTGGCTCCGCTCCCAGTCCTATTACACCTTTGCCACTCTCTTGGGTATATAAATTATATCTTCTGCCTATTTATCTTGCCTGTCTTTAATTATATGTAAGGTTGAACATCTTTTTACACACCAAATCACTGGTTCTCAATCCATGGGTCAAGATCCCTTTGGAGCTGAATGACCTGTTCACAGGGGTCACCTAAGACAATTGGGAAACAAAGATATTTACATGATAATTCACAAGAGTAGCACAATTACAGTCATGAAGTAGCAATGGAAATAATTTTATGATTGGGGTCACCACAACACAAAGAACTGTATTAAAGGGCCTCAGCATTAGGAAGGTTGAGACCTGCTGCACTAAATCCTTTGTGTATTCTCTCCCTGCCCTAACAGTTTATTCAGTCCTACACTGCTTCACATATTACAAACATATTTCTAGTTTATCATTTTAGACTAATGTATTTTAGAAGGATTTAGAGCAAAAGGCATTCTCTAAATAACCCAAGGCTTATCAGAAAATTCAGAACACCATAGTACTTTATTCCCTAAGCTCTGAAAATAACAGAAAGTATAATCTGAATAGGCAAACAAAATTTAATATCGTCTATTCCCCAGGTAGCCAGGTAGATGGATTTGTTCCTGGTCTAAAGCTATCAGGCCTTTTCCAGAAGGGCAGGGTGTGACTCTGCCCTGGCTACTGATTTGAGTAATCCACATCCCTTGACAAATTCCCAACCACAACTACGTCAACTTCCTCCTTTATCACATGCTGAGTTTTAAGCAAAAATATTTCAAGCATTTTCCCCAAGATCTGACCTTCATATGCTCCTCTAAGGAAAAATCCTAGAGCAACAGCTTGAGATTTCCTCCCAATTTCGTTAATCCTAATGAGCCTCCCTATGAGGAAACACCTCCATTACCACCTCCACCCCCGCACCCCCAGAGGTCTACGATTAATCAGGGGCTGTCTGAGCTGTCTAAATGAGCCTATTTCAGGAGGGAAAGCGGAAAGTGGTCCGCAGAACTGACAAATGGTCTGAGGGAACCAAATAGGCATTCTGCAAACAGTACCTGAACGGATACCTCAGACAGTGCTTTAGGAATTGCTCACTCTCTTTAGGAATTGCTCACTCTCTTAGGTGTGACAATGGCAGTGAAGTTGTGTAAAAACTATTCATTCCTTTTAGAAGTACTTCTTCTACTTAGGATTGAAATGTCACGATGCCTTCAACCTTCCTTAAATTCATATCAGAACCCTCTTTACAGTACTTCAAAAAAAAAAAAAAAAAAAAAAGCAAGTAAACTTGATAACAGGTTAGCAGCTGTCAAAATAAGCAAGTGTACTGATGTTCCATAAAGCTTTTCCCACTTTCAAGAAAATTTTAACTTTCCTCAAATTGACTAGACTTTAAGCAACAAACCAATTCACAGGATAGAGCCAGCTACCTCCAGGATGGATAATTAAATAAAGAATTTAAATAGAGAATTTAAAAATAAGGATTTTGCTGAGTGTGGTACTTATACTATAGCCCAGACATTCAAAAGGTTGAAGCAAGGATTGCTCCAAGATCAAGGCCAACCTGGACTACAGACTAAGTTCAAGGCTAACCTGGGAGAATGTGAGATCCTGTATCACCCCATGTTCCCAAGTAAAGAGGAACAAGGGCTTCTTGCCAATATAGTCAATGCATATTTAAAAACATATAGAAACCTGACCTGTAGATCCTTGAAAGGATTAACCAGATATAAAATTGAGCAAAAGGCAAGTCCCTTCCAGTATTGTGATCTAACAATGACAGGGGAGTTTTATTTCCATATGACCATGTTTGGAAACACTGAAGGCCTCTTTTTCCCCATGTGCTCTTGCTGATATACAGGCAGGAGGAAGTAAATGGCCCAACAGTGTTCTGGGAGCAGTGGGGAGTGGAATTAAAATATAGCCTGGCAGCAGGGTGTGGTGGCACACACCTGTAATCCTAGCACTTGAGAAGGCAGGGGCAAGCAGGTCTCTTTGAGTTCAAAGCTAGCTGGTCTACTAAAGCAAGCCCAGGACAGCCAAGGCAAGGCTATACAGAGAAATCCTGTCTTGAAAAACCAAAAACCAACCCCCTCAAAAAAGAAAGGAAAAAAAAATAAGAAAGAGAAAAGAAAGAAAAAAAAAAAGAAAGAAAGAAAGAAAGAAAGAAATTTAGCCTGGCCCCAGATCACTGAGTTTAAAATGTGCACTCAGAAACCACTGGCCACTGCCTTAAACTTAAACTTAGCAGTTAGAATAATCCTTTTGATTATGCTTCCCTTTTGTGTTATTTAAAACAAAATGAGCCACTACTGAGTGGTAACCATGGCTTTTTACAGGCACGGAGGAACTTCCGGATATCATTAAAATATGGTACAACTTTCTGCTGGTGACAGGTTAAGTAGGCAAAGGTTCCTTGATGTCAGAAGGAATTCTGAGGGGTGTCAGGTTACAAGTTTAAAAACTTACAACTGATTGTGGTGATTTCTTGGGAACTCATTTTAAAATAACATGCATGATGTAACCTTAGTAGAAGGAAGAAAATAAAAAATTGTCTTTCATTACACAGCAGCAGGAAGGAGAAAGCATGACATTCGACCCTAGACTGGACCATGAAGGCATCTGCTGTATAGAGTGCAGGCGGAGCTACACCCACTGCCAGAAGATCTGCGAGCCACTGGGAGGCTACTATCCATGGCCTTACAATTACCAAGGATGCCGTTCAGCCTGCAGAGTTGTCATGCCATGTAGCTGGTGGGTTGCCCGCATCTTGGGCATGGTGTAAAACCATTTCATCTACCAGGTACTGTCAATCATGAATTAACTTTAGAGTTGACAACCAAAGAAGTGTAAAGCATGTTCAGGCCAAGGGACCACAAAGTATTTTATATCAACCTGAATGATGCTATCGCAAGTGCTGCAACAGAACCTCTCTACTGTGTGTGCAAATGTACTGAGAGGGTAGTTTAAATCTACAATTATTATCCCGTTACTCTTTGCTTTGCTGATAAAGCCCACTGCAAGTCTTTAAGAGCTACTTTTGAAATAAACATAAAAAGTTATTTACAATTTGTCCCAGATCTGTCATATACTTGAATTCCTTTTAATCAAATCATGACTGAAATCATCCCAGTGGTTCTATTGTTTATATGAAGTTCAAACATTCTTAACCTTCATTGTACTGTTATTTTCAGTCATGCAAATATGCCCAGAATTCTGAGGTGGGGCCGAGAGAAAGAAAAAGAAATAAAAAAGGAAAAAAAGAAAAAAAAATGAACTCAAATAAAAAGGGGAAAGGGGCGTATAGAATGGAACTCACTTAAAAGCAAACATTGGAACCTTCAATGGGTACCTCATCTGGAATTATTACCTATAGTTGCCACTGGCAAGTGATTAACGAGAGGCAAAACTATGTTAAAAGCCACCTTCCAAGCTGGGTGGTGGTGGTGCACAACTTTGATCACAGCACTCAGGAGGCAGAAGTGCAGGCAGCTCTGAGTTCAAGGCCAGCCTGGTCTACAGAGTTCCAGGACAGTCAAAGCTGCATAGAGAAATGTCATCTTGAAAAAAAAAAAAGGAAAAAAAGCAAAGAAAGAACAAATGAACATCACCCTCCAGAAAGGAAGCAATAAGATAAAGAACAACACACAAGAGGGTAAATGAGACACATGGGAAGAACTCGGCAACATTCTGAAAGCACGTCTTCACACTCCTGTCTATCTGTTTTCAATGAGCAGCCAGAGTAAGCAGTGCCATGGTTTTACCACTGTAGAACAGATCAGGCGGCCACTGTAGTCCAATTACCAGGCAGTTACTCTCCTAGAGACGGGCCTGGGAGAGTACAGCTGGAGAGGAACAGCTTAGAATGACACAAAGGAAACCCCTCAGGAACAAGCACCGTCTTCAGATATTAGATCAGGAGGATACGGAAGAATTTTGTTATTGACATTTTAGTTTTGAATCCCATAGTTTGAGAGAAAAAAGAACAACTTGCCTGAGAAGAACTTTTACCCAAACAAAATTCTGAGATAATAGAAGGGTCTTTTTTTTTTAATATTTATTTATTTATTATGTGTAATTGCTCTATCTGCATGTACTCTACATTCCAGAAGAGGACAACAGATGCCAGTATAGATGGTTGTAAACCACCATGTGGTTGCTGGGAATTGAACTCAGGACCTCTGGAAGAGCAGAGAGTGCTCTTAACTGCTGAGCCATTTCTCCAGCCCCAATAGAAGGGTCTTAATGCTAACACATTCTGAACAAACCTTGTCTTTTTAGTGTCAATTAAAATCTGTAAGACACAGAAAATTTAAAGCCTAGTTATCAAATGCTTTTAGTTAGTGGGATAATCAGATCAGCGCCTGAAGAAGGAAGAATGAAGGAATACATGTGTAATGGTGTCATGCTGTGCTCAGGCAGAAGCTACTGTCTGAAGTTTAATTTTTCAAGCCCAATCTTTAAGGTGGTTGCTTTCCTATTAACCAAGCAAAACATGGGCCGTATAGTTCTACCCATGTTTGCACACCCACAGAGCCTCACACTCGGTTCTAGAAACAAGATCAAAGAGATACAGATAGTCAGTATTCAAAACCCTGAAGATGGAGGCAATGGGATTCTTGGAGAATTCCTACGTGGAGGGTTTCACGTTAGCAAGAACTAGCCTATGAAGTGAGAGAGCGGGTATTCCAAGCAGAGGCAATACGTTGGGGTAAAGTAGGGGGTGTGACACCTCATGGGACAAGCTGAAAATGGAGCTCTTAGGCAGGAAATCTCAAGATGGAATAACAGCCAGAAGCTACACCGATGTCAGCTTGATACAGAATTGGGAACCAATCAGATTCCAGATAGGGAGATGGCTGGTTAGATTTGCATGTTCCGTGAATAGCCTGGGTAGCTTTCCTTTGAATGGGGGCAATCCAGAAGCCAAGGAGCAACTTAGCAAGGAGCACAGGTCACAAGACAAAGCTGTCTCCTGCAAGAGGCTTTCCTAGATGGAAATAGAGGTGGATTGTTTATATTTATTTTTACAGATGAGGGATCATTGTTATAAAGTCACTGAATACAAAGGACACCAATAGTTGGAAAAAAAAAAAAAACCTGTTGGTTGGATGATAGGAGACCCAAAGTGGTCTTTAGGGGAAAGGAAAAAAAAAAAAAATCTAAGTTCTGCTTTGAAAGAGAAGAGTCAAATGAGAAGAAACACATTTAGTTAAGAGAGGACACAAAAAGCAAAAGTTTCCCATGAATTTTTACTAATTCCCTATTGGCTCTAAGCATGCCAATCCCAAGCTGCAAACACAGCTGATATTTCCTATGTTGAATTTTGACTGAAACATATCAGTGTGTACAGATAAACACTTGTATTGCTATTAACATTTTAGACACTTATTTCTCAGTGGTGGTGTAGGCTGAAGGTCCTAATGTGACCCAGAATAGAACAGTAGGCTCACTCAGGCTTAGATGTGGTAGATGTCAATGGACACAAAGAAACGAAGGAAAGGCCCTACTAGGTTTCAATCAGAATTGTGGTCATATTAACTTACATCACTGAAAGTATGCCAACATTCACCACAGCCTGTTTAAAAACGTGTGGACCTCATCCCTACATTTCTTCTACCATCTCAAACAATTTTAACATTGAAAAGATACACTAAAATTATTCAATCCACTCAACCATTTATTTTACATCAGATTTTATTACAGTGAAATACAATCTCCATTTTACAAAACACAAATGCTTTGAGTGGTTTCTGTATAAGCTGGCTATATTGACTAGTTCAACAGTGTGTACTTAATAGAAATGACCACACTTTTAAAGGTAACTAATTTATTCGGGAGTAGGAAAAAAACCTACACGCACTGCTGGTTTTGAAAGCGTATCACAAAGATGCAAATCTGAGCAATGACTAACCTTAGTAAAAAAAACACGTACATGCAGAGTGCTTTGGTTGTGAAGGAAAGGTGAAATCCCTGTTTGTGTTTTGTGTGTGTATACACATGTATATGCATGCTCATATTCTACATGAATATGCAAGTGTATTTCATTTTGAAATAAAGATTTAGTATTAGAATCAAATTTACAAAACAAGTTAGTTTTAACTAACTGGAGGAAATCACCATAGGTTTTATTTAAACTATGCATATTCAAAAGGATTTAATTTAGTTTTTAGATATTTAATGTGAGGAAATATACATATGTATATATATATATATATAAATATAGATTTTTGTATGTATAATCTAAGCTTAGCAAATAGTTAACAGTATTTCCCAAGACATTTATGTCATTGAACCTTTTATACTTAGTTGTCTTTACATAAAAATATATGAATCAGTCCCTTGTACAGTCCTATATGTTATCAACAAAAAGCAAAGATTATTAATGGGACTGGAAATAATATAACTATACTATGCTAAAATAAATCAATATTGAAAATGCCAAATTACAAACTGGGAATGGGGGTGCACACTTTCAATCCCATCACTGGAGGCAGAGGCAGATGTATCTCTGTTGAGTTCAGGGCCAACCTGGTCTACACAGAGTTCCAGGACAGCCAGAGCTACAAGGCCTCAGGCAACAACGAATTTAGACACAGCTCAGGCAGGAGTGAAGAACTTGCTATCCTTGCAGAGGACACTGTTTGGTTTCCAGGACTCACTTAGCAGCTAGTGACAACCCTGTCACTCCAGTTTCAGGGGGGATTTGACACTTTCTTCGGGTCTCCATGGGCACCAAGCATGCACATGGCACTTATATATACATACATACAAGTATTCAGTCACGTAAAATCTTTAAAATAAGAACAACTTGAGTGGTTATGCCCCAATTGCCGCTGATTCATTAAAAACAATGTTTCCTATTTCTGCTCCCCTTTTGTGCCTGCTCCTCTGTAAATGTTCCCTCACCTATGATTTGTAACAATTGGTTTGGGAACCCCGAAAAAATGAGTTTTTCCTACCCTCCTCTGTGGATAGCTATGGAACTTCCAAAAGCAACCAGGAAGTCTGGAATACCTTTTAACTGACCTGTATGCAACTTTACTTGCAAGTACTTTGCTTTTTGATACATGGCTTTTGTGGCTTTCTATTATTCTGCTTTCCAAGTTGTAAATTATTTAATAGCTAAGAATTTTATTCTCCAAAGCCTATATCCTTACTTAGCCACACTCTTACCTATCTTTTTATGAGTCTAACTTACACTGACAGAGTCAAAGACCTGGAACAATTAGTCAAGCATGAAATTTCTCTTAGCAGGACATAATGTTGCTAAATGTAACTCGTTTGTTTTCCGTTAATATCATATTCTAAAAACCAGGGATGGCCCAGTGTTTGTAATCACAGCAACTGGGAGGCCAGGCAGGAAGACTGCTAAAAGTCTGATGCCAGCCTATTGCAGAGACCCTATCCCAAATCCAAAACAAACCAAACACATTCTATTACTAAGGGACTATTATGTGGAAAAGAGATCTCTGTAAGGTGCACACTACCACGCTAGCAGCCCACTCAGCGATCATTCACACATTAAAATAGTCACTCTGTACCTATGCATTACATAGGCAATAATGAGAGTTGGGAAGAAATAGTGCCTCGTTACAAATCAGTATCATAGCACAGCCATCTGCTGTTCTCTGCTCAATCTAAATACAAGACACTGATAAACTTCTGTCCTGCCCAAATGCAGAGGCAGGTTTCCTTTCACATGTAGTGCCAGACACTGACTCAATGACTTCATCCTAAGGTCCCCAAAGATCAAAATAACCACTGAGCAACTCTCCTCTGTCTTACAAGAACAACAAAAACCCCTCAGTATCATTGGGAATTGAATCCAAGGCCTCAAACACTAGGGCAAGTATTCTACCAATAACTTTTATCGTCAGCCCTTACTTATTTAATGCATTTCCCTACACGTGGGTATGTGTACTACATGAATGCCTGGTGCCAGGCAGGCCAGAAGAGGACCTGGGTCCCCTGGAACTGGAGTTATAGCTGGTTGTTAGCTATCATGTGGATGCTGGGAATTGAACACAGGTCCTCTCCAAGAGCAGTAAGTGCTCTTAACTCCTTAA